ACATCTCTTCTGATTTTGTAACGTGACTATATCGACACCGATCAAAAATCTTTTCGCTTCTTTACCTGTTCTTTGATTCGTATCTGTTCGATTTCTAAAAGTAATCCCAGCCTCTAGTCGTCTCTGTATTCGATTAGACCGTCGATATCACGATGTGCTTTAATAAATTTGATTCGAAAAATTCGCACGGAGGAAAAAACTTGCGAGGACACGAACGAGCCTTCGAAGAAGTCGTAGGATCACGCTGCTGCGTTCCGGCGCACGTGCATCGAAAAAACGGGGCCGTCGTTGCAGGTTCGAACCTGCACCAGGAAGAATACACTCGCTTTAAGTTGTTTCCTTTGAATGTCTCGACTTTACGCAATTCAGCGCGAAAACTACCTTCCCCAAGCAACAAAATAGCCAGACGTGTTCCAACTTGCTCCCGTTTGTACAAGAGATCTCTCTTTTCTTGAAAAGACCACCTCTGCTTCCTTTGGAGCGTGTCTCTTCCTTTTTTGCTAGGATAATAGATATTGTACGGAAGACCATTATACAAATCACATAGAAAAACTTTCCATCTGATCCGGGGAAAACTGATATCGCGGAGCTATAAATACGAAGAATCGAAAGAGTTATGGAACTTTTTAACGGGTTCTATTTAAGACATGGGCATTTTTTAGAAAATGTTCTCACGATCTTATAAGAATGTCCAGGTGGACAAATTGTAAAGTACAAATTAAATAATAATAATAAAAAAAAAAATTGTATAAGTTCCGATGAGAACGGATAAAGAAACATTCTGGGGAACGAAAGTTTTAATTCGAATAGATTTTGCAAAATATGAAGATACAAGTTTTTCTATGAACAGGTATTTCGATATTAAAAAAGTTCTCGATTATCGTAAGAAATATCGAATACGTTACTGAATAAAGAAAATTATTTATGTTATAATTTTCGTAGCTTTTATTAATATCGTTAAATAAAGCTACTATCCAGTAATTTGGTACTTTTATTTATAATTATATGTACATTTTATTATATACATTTACTATATGTGTATGTTATGTGAGTATATTTTATTTGTTATCTAAATTTTTTTATAAGATAAAAGCGTTCCATGAGAACATTTTCCACAAAAGTTCTTAACGTAACGTTGTTTTTTATAAAAATTCCACCAGAACGAATGGATTTGTTAAATAGATAAGATCGAACAAAATTGTTTTATGAACGACAGATGATCGTTTACCTGGTTGCTTGGTAAATTTCTTGACGTAACGTTGGTCTTTTAAAGATTAATCGATGGAAATCTGATAAAATACGACGCACGTAATTAATTTGAATCTCTTTAAAATTAACGAGATATATCAAATTTGTCGATAAAATTTCCAGTGGAACGCGTAAATACGTACGAAGAACGAAAGATTGCACGTAGGGAACTCGTTAAGAGGGGGCTCGTTAATTAGAACGTAAAATATATGCGTGGTAATAGGTCGATCGTAATTGCACGATGATTCCTTCTCTTTTCCGGTCATAAAAAAACCATTCGAATCGTATTGGTCGCGTATCTCACCCTAAATTGCACACCTGGCAAAGGGTTAATGCGAATTGGCAAGTGGGTTAGTGGGTGAACCATCCGAGAACTTAAATATTCGTTTTTATATTCCGGAACGGAGCAAGTTCGAACACGTTTCTCTGCCAGCAGGGGCAGTTAAAAAGTGAATTGTACGCCGATTGCAGGTTCGAACCTGCACGAAGAAAAGCAGGTCGACGGGGCTTTTTTCCTTTACACAATCTTCCGCATTCACACGCATTTATGCAGCGCGGAACAGAAACACGTTAGAACTTGCACGCGGCTATCTGCGTCTCAGCTCTTATCGAGTTCGCCTATAGGAAATAGAACGTTAGATAAGATTCCATGTACGTACTATTTTTGATTTTATCGATTATCAACGGTGACAAGTAAAATTGTTTTTTTTTATTTAATTTGTACATTACAATTTGTCCAGCTGGACGTTTGGTAAATTTTTCTAACTTTATTGCTAAATAACACGTGGATGGCCATCCATCGAGTAAAAGTGTTTCCTCCTTTTCGAATTTTCCTACGTTCCATGCCACTGGGTGTTACTTGTAAAATAATAGGAGACGGCAAATAATTATGTAAAATGGAAATTCATATCTCCGAATTTCAATTATTTAATTATTAATACTCCAGTTGTGTTTAACGTATGTTTCTACGTTCCTCGATAAAAGGAACAAGGAAGGAAAAAAAAAAATTGCGTCACTTCACGAATCTAAGGTATATCGTCTCTTAAGAAGCTGCATGACAATTCAGTCACGTTTCCCTAACCGATTGAGAAAAGGCGATTTTTCGCGGTGGATTACGTCAAGCCGATACGTCTGAAGATAGCGTCACCAATCGATCTGCTTTCTTCCAATGTAACTTGCAGTTTGTAACGTTCGAAACGGCACGATTTAGGTCGGAATAAAATACAGCGTGTTGAAATTCTTCCAAGACTGGACATAGATCACCCGTCTATGTAGTCGGCTGTCATCCCAAGATATTCTACGACTGGAGGAAAGGATCCTGCCGGATGCAAGGGTCCTGCCGCACCGATTCAACGCAAAGTGTGACGTAGGTGTGGGAATTTCATGGAAAAGAAAAGGTTTCGAAGGGAGCGAATTCTAACTCGCTCGCTCGATGCAGAGGCACGTACCAAATGAATGGCGAATTTTCAATGCAACGTGTGAGACGGCCAAGAGTCTTACGATTGATGATGTCTGTCAGGTTCTGACTACCTTTCAAGAACGATAGTCGGTTTATCTGTGACGGTTACGTCGTTTAATAAACGATGATATCTATAAAGTGTCGATATATAAGGTTTTATGAGATACAAATTTATATGCAACAGAATAACTCGAAGTATTAACGTACACCACTCTATTCTCTTATATTGGATTGCCAACTAAATGATTATCACCAAATGACAAAATCCGCAGTTACTCTCAATTATCTCAAACAGGAATGTATTTCTTTTATTGCACGTTCGTTCATTCAACACATACGCGATGCCTCGTGGCGTTTTCCTTTTAATTCCTCGCTTAAATAGCAAAATATAGCGACACATATAGCAAAAGAGTCAACAAACACCGGATCAGATCCGCAGGCTGAAGAGACACTACCCGCTAGACCTAAACGCTAGATTCAATTAGTTATCTAAATTAAGTAATATTTACTTATTTATAATACTTACTTATAAGTTATACTTATCTGTAATAAGTATTAACTAATTACAAATAATTAGCCATGTCACTGCGCCACGCCAGAAAAAATTACTGAAAATTCTCAATGCGAGAATTGATTGTAAATTTTAATGAATAAATAAGATAAAAAATAAAAATTCCTCGCTCGTGAAATTCATATGTACACACATGTATTTTCTAACACACACAATTGATGCTATTGGATATTATTTCATGATTTCGGTATTCCAAGGTTGATAGCCAACCTTCTTTAGGGTTAGTACGTATTATGCTTGTTCATTGTCTGTTTTCCACATTTGTTCCTTTCACGACGCACTTATGAAGCGATCAAACCTCTCCCTTAACAGCATAACGACCGCATAATCGAATCACCAAACAGAATCGTATAAACGGCAAATACAAACTCCATCTTAATATCAACAACTCTAACAATCGCTATTCTATCCAAATTTCATTGGCCGCATCAAAAATGTTCGAGATACGATAAACTCGGAAGTCAACATAAACTCGGTGGTGAAAACGAGCCTAAGAATCCTAATACCAAACACCGGTCTGCACACGGGATCGAGAGTTTGGGCAAACGCGTCCAACGAGTTCCCCCGAAATCTTTCCCCGACGTCCTCGAAACGTTCACGATGGATCGTTAGATGACGAAACATGGAGCAGAAAGGCTGACAGAGAGAAAGACTGGGTCGTGCAAGCGGAGATCCGTTTCCATTTATCAGCTTCCCCATTATGCTCCTAAATAAACAGTCTCGCGAGTCTTGCACCTATGTAAACACACGGGCGGAACTGCCGACGGATCCAGCGATCCGAGATTCATTGGTGAACCCCGTGAAGAAAAAAAAAAAAGAGGTTGAAGGGGAGGATTGTGAAAGGGACGAATAGGAAACGGAGAAAAGTGATTGTGAAGGAGGGTGGGTGTTGCATTGAAGGTCGCAGAACCGTGAATCTGCCTCCAGGGCACGGATCCATTCTTAAAGGATTATCGTTATAAATTATACATTTCCCGTGTTGGACGCCCGGTGCATCCTGGCCGCCATTTTGCTGGATGACCGGTAGCGGCTTAGAGATTTCTATCGTTGGATTAACGTGAACCGTGTCATCGCGGTATCCTGTCTATTCGATTTCGTCTCCGGTGGAAAGAAAGGCGACTCGCGATCGACCCTTTTCGTCGGTCCATACGTTTTTTTTTTTCTTTTTTTCTTTCAGAGTGGCTATTCCATTTTTCGACCTCTCGTGGCCGGTCGCGAGGGTAGAACGCGCGTTTCCAGGGTGAAATACGATCCGCTGGCCGGCTGTTACGAATTTTTTTTTCTCGCCGGATTTTAGGGTCGCGTTTTTAGGGGAGGTTTCCAAGTCTCCTTTTTTTGCGGGTCTCGACGCGAGTGGTTGATCTCGACGAACAGAATTTTGTTAATTATATTAGGTTGTCCGAAAGGTTTCTTTCCTTTCGTAAGGCGATAACAGATGAACAACAATTTCTGTTTTATTTTATTTTATTGAATTAGGTGTGATCCATTTCTATTATTACGTTCGTGCATAGTTCAATAAACTGATGTAAAACAAAAAACATTGTGCGTCTATTATTTCTTTATAAAACGAAATAATACGTACCTCGCTGTGAACGCGGATTTGTTCCTTTCTCGTCTTGATTTCTTATCTTGCCTTTATTTGTGCATTTGAATCTAGAAAATTTGCATGTTCGATGCATCGATGATGTTTTATATTCCTCAAAGTGTATGATATAGAATAATATGGTTGATGTCAAACGTGTTATTTCAAATGATGATATAAGTCGGTACTTGATATAGTCAAATAGTTAAATAGTTAGTATCGAGTATTTGGTAAGCATTACCTAGTATCCGTATATCGAGTGGCATTGAGCGAACGACGATTAGTAGCATTGAGCAAAGGACAATCAGTAGCATCGAGCAAAGGACGATTAGTAATATCGAGCAAAGGACGATTAGTAATATCGAGCAAAGGACGATTAGTAGTATCGAGCAAAGGGCAATTAGTAATATTGAGCAAAGGACGATTAGTAACATCGAACAAAGGACGATCAGTAGCATCGAGCAAAAGACGATTAGTAGCATCGAGCGAACGACGATTAGTAGCATCGAGCAAAGGGCGATTAGTAGTGTTGAGCAAAGGACGATTAGTAACATCGAGCAAAGGACAATCAGTAGCATCGAGCAAAGGACGATTAGTAATATCGAGCAAAGGACGATTAGTAACATCGAGCGAAGGACGATCAGTAGCATCGAGCAAAGGACGATTAGTAATATCGAGCAAAGGACGATTAGTAGCATCGAGTGAAGGACGATTAGTAGCATCGAGTGAAGGACGATTAGTAATATCGAGCAAAGGACGATTAGTAACATCGAACAAAGGACGATCAGTAGCATCGAGCAAAAGACGATTAGTAGCATCGAGCGAACGACGATTAGTAGCATCGAGCAAAGGGCGATTAGTAGTGTTGAGCAAAGGACGATTAGTAACATCGAGCAAAGGACGATCAGTAGCATCGAGCGAAGGACGATTAGTAATATCGAGCAAAGGACGATTAGTAACATCGAACAAAGGACGATCAGTAGCACCGAGCAAAGGACGATCAGTAGCATCGAGCAAAGGACGATTAGTAATATCGAGCAAAGGACGATTAGTAGCATCGAGTGAAGGACGATTGGTAATATCAAGCAAAGGACGATTAGTAGTATCGAGCAAAGGACGATCAGTAATATCGAGCAAAGGACGATTAGTAACATCGAGCGAAGGACGATCAGTAGCATCGAGCAAAGGACGATTAACTCTGTATTCGGTACGTAGAATAATTTTAAATACATTTGACTATATCAAGTACCGATTTATTTCATCATCTGAAATAACACGTTTAAACCCACCACAATAACACAGTGGTCAGTATATATTATCAAGGAATTCATACGAAAGTTCATTTTCTAAGATGTAAATAAGATATACTGTCTGGTAGAATTTTCTTCAATTTTATCTCTGTGCGCTGCGCTGATATCGTATGTTCTATTTGATTTAGAATTTGTTATCAAAATGGAAATAATGGAAACATATATCTATATATATACATTGTAGCTTTCAGATACGATCAATTATCTTAAATGCAAGTTGGTTTTAAACCATAAACGTACAACTTAAGATTTACTCAGGCGTATAAATAGACATCTAATCCGTGATAACAGCGCTTTTTCTACCTTTTATCGTAACGCGGTTCTCTTGCCACTCGCTCGAATCAGTCAAAGAAGAAATATACAAGTTCAGAAACAGATATAAGAGTTAACAACCACCAAAACCCATTAGTTACCCAACTACTTGACACGACTGATCAGATCTGCAGACCAAAAAGGACAATACTCTTTAGATCGAAGCATTAGATTCAACTAGAATCAAACATACTATAAACTATTATAATCCACGTTACAGTATCACGCCAAAAGAATTTACCTGTAATTCTCAACGAGAATCGATTGTAAATAGTCTACAAAGACTATTAGAATAAAATAAAAAAAAAAACTTGCTCAAATTTCTAGTCTGCCTACCAATAGATTCAACAAAGATATGTACAATTCTATCTAACAAAAATCACAATATGGAAATATAGGAAATTAGAAAATCGATACTAAGCTGCAAACTTTCTTGACCAGTAGCATACAAAATCCACTTATCAATTCCAAAGAGCGTCTGTTCCTCGTATCGCGTGCATCGCAGCAAATTCTCACCGTGTCTCCAAACCGAATCGATTCTACCGCGTCATTTATCGCGTATAATATAAACCATGGAAGAAGT